TTACAGCATTTTGATGTTTATCTGAATGTTACATTGCATCCGATTCTTGTATATACTGATCACAACCCCCTGACATTTTTGCATAAATTGTCAAACAAGAATCAAAGACTGACTAGATGGAGTTTGTTGTTACAAGAATACAACATAACAATAAAGCATATCAAAGGCAAAGACAATGTTATTGCAGATGCCTTGTCTAGAGTATCGTGAACATACATGATTTTGTATTAATGTACATATATTTCATTTTGACAATATAAGTTTTCATTGACATTCAAACTTTTTAAGGGGGGAGGTGTTGTGAGGTGTGTATTGTTTCATCATGTCTATTATTAGTAACATTAAGGTTCTTGAACATTTCAGAGTGGTCAACATGTTCGGTCATTGTTTCTAGAACATTCCTGAACTTTGTGTATGTCCAGAACTTTCCAGTAATATCATGTACTTACAACTTCTAGAATATTCTAGATTTATAATACTGTATAAATACCCTGTCAATTCGATGCATAGAGATATTGTCGTATAAGCATCATTGAGGTATTACTGGGATATAATTTCACTGGGACATTGTGTGTAGCAACGGACACTCTGATGTATGTATTTTTAGATTTTTGCTAAGTTTGTACTTAATGATTTGTATATTACTGTAAATAAATTATTGTTAAGTTTAAACTGTGTGATTGATCTTTGCTGGCATTTAGGGTTATTCTGACCCATAACATTATATATATCACAACTTAAACTTCTCAAAAAACCAAAAAATCCTTCTGTGGTCAATAGTTATATGTTCAGAACTGAAAAGGAATTAGATAGATAATGCATTCAGCACGTACTGGTCTCAGCTAACAAAGCAGGGGACACCACTGTCTTTGTAAGGTTCATTATTAAATGTATTTTAGAGAGATTGGGATTAAATTCCGAAGACATTTCTCCAACTAATGCACAAAGTTCCTTTATAAGGAAAACAAATCCTCAAATCAGGCGTCAATTTATTATATGTTCCCAGCAATTGGAATTAATTTAAATTACCAATTTAAATTTCATAACTTCCAAAAACACACAAAAAACTTTCTATAAAGAATTTCTTAGTAAGTTTCAGTTAATAATCTTCCAAGCTTCTTTCTTCACTGATTATATATCTGAGAAGAGATGTAAATTAACTGCAGATGCTTAAAATTCAAAGGAATTTTTAGAAAATTTGAAATCACATCAGTAACGCCAATACGTAAAATTTTCAATAAAAAAAAAGAAATGTAAAAAAAAATAAAAATAACAATTCCCCCACAATAAATTAAAGCCAAGGATTTTCGACATCATAGAAGCTGATTTTTAATGAAATGGATCTCGTATATTTCTTAACTTGTCATTGGTCATTTGCAAAATAATTTTTTCTCAAAACATCGTTATTGTACACAAAAAATCTAAACTTGTATTATCAATGAACATTAGTTTCTTTCATGCATATGTTGACTCGCTGTTAGTCCATTATTTATACACTGAATTGACGACGGATTTTTCCGTTATTTGACTATGATGACAAGGAGCACACGACGGGTGCTAACTCCTCCATGGCACCTGATCCCACCTCTGATGTTTTGGAGGTCAGTGTTTGCTCTGCTCCAATTTTGTATTGTTTTACGCACTTTTGATCTGGAATACTGTTCGTTAGCTCATATTTTTCGCTATAACCCAGTGGAGTAAAAAAAAAAAGATACCACATAGTCCGAAACATATGTGAATATGTTACCTGAAAGAGGCGTTAATGGTTATCTAAAAACAAAACTCTAGGATAAACATGATGACTTTAATTTTTCTGTCTTCGTACAATATACCTTTATAGACTACATACAGGTGTTATATTGGTAAGACACATAAGAAAATGTTCTTCGTTTACAGAATTTTTTTTAAAATCAGGCTTCCTATGGACAGCCAATTTGATGAATCAAGGATATCAACAGTCTCGTTCAAGTAATCATTTTGCGAGTTCTACTGTCGACTTAATTAATGACCATGTCAGCAAATACAACGTATCATTAAATTGAAAGCCGGCTGACAGTTTTCACACATATTATATTGTCAGACCGTTATCTAGACACTAAATCGTTTCTGGATTTCTTCGTTTGTCTGATCATGATAAGGAGTACAAGGCGAATGTGATCGGTCGGGAGGAATGCTTTCTTTTCTATGGTATCTGATCCTACCTCTAATGATTTAGTTATCCGTGTTTACCCTACTTTCGATTTGTATTTTATCAATGAACTTTTGAGCTTAAATATTATTTTGTTATTTCTATATTTCATTCTCCTTTTAAAATAACACAAATATGCATGTTTCAGTAAGTTTGATAAGATACAGATACTAGTATCTCCATCGATAATACACGACGGTTAACATGAGTATGGATGATTTCAAGACGTCTTTAACATATCTTTAAGCTGCACAGTTCATTCTTTTGATTTTATGCACATTGGTTTTATATACTATTGAGTATCACTACTGAGTAGAATGAAAAGACATGTAAATATTGGAAACCTTTTGATGCCAAAGAACACCCTTTGAATTTCAAAATCGTAGTTTATTTCACCCAGTCCCACTTTTAAAAAAGCCAGCTTTGAATTTTTTCGATGGATATCTTTTGTGAACAAATGATTTACTGACATAAAAAGAGAAGAAAAAGTACATGATACATGTTTATAATTCTAGGGATAGAAATCAAGCAATAATTTATGCAGAGTTATTTTCGCCCCCGCGTTATTTTGGCCCTTTCACATTTGCAAACAATTTTGCCCTGTTTTAAAAAATCGCCCATTCATATTTTTGTTTAAGAAATTATACTATATTTTTTTAATTCGCACCGTTTAAGATTCGCCCAAATGAGGGTAGGGCGAAAATGGCGAAATTAAAACAGGGGCGAAAATTTCTCTGTTTACAGTATCAACTCAATAACAGAGTCAGTGCGTTGAACTATTATATACTGCATTAGCAGAAGGCCATAAAACAATAAAACTAATAAACAGGGGCAATTAAAAGTATGAACATATTAATACTGTGAAAGTAAATGGAATTTTCAAATTCTATTTTAGTCCACGTGACCCTTGATAAAAAGTATATGTCAATAACGCCTACTATTATTAGTGGTTCCTAGTCAGCTTGTTCTGTCAATTGTTATCACGTTGATCTATTGTCCTTGAACTAACAGATAGGACCCCGTCCAATAGATGTAAAAGTGAGATAATTTTTTATCAAACCCATCCCAAAGTTTGCAAACTCGACGGATTTAGAAATACGATCTCAGTCGGTGACAGCTTTTTATCGTAATTTTATTCCCAATAAGCGGTAAACGATCAAAATGGGTAATTATTTCTTCGCACAAAATCCAATGCATTCATTTTTCGTTCAGCAATACTCTAAATAATTAAAATTCATTGATGAGACCTTACATAACCAAACATGCACCAGTGAACTTTAAGTGTGAAAATTTTCCTAAAAGACTAAAATAAAATCCACATGAAAAACTATAAATTTTCCGATTTGGCTAATGAACAAAACCTCCATGTAAAAAATGGTGTTATTGTATGGTCTTACAAATGAGCACAAATCCTGTAAGGTACTGAATATAGTCGGTGAATTTATGACTAAAATATTTCTCAAAAAATAGTTACTGATTTCTTGTTTTTTTATCTTTTCAAATACGTCATACACTCAAAACCTTATTTACAAATACCTTAGAATTTAGTAGAAAATTCAAAATTTATATGAATTTACTTTTTTTTTCTAAAAACTAAATGTTATCTTTCTAAAAAAAAATAGTACAAATTGTACTATAATTTTTTGCAAGTTTGGATTTTGGTGTCATGAGTCAAGTATTTTCTTTTTTTCGCCTTAAAATGGCAACAAGAATTTTTAACTACTTTTCTCAGTGATGTTTCTTACTGTTTTACACTTTCCAACCAAGTTCCATTAATTTTGTCGTTGCATGTTTGACAAGTATTTTAACAAAATGCTACCTTGATGGTGTTTGAATCATCTCGCTGGAAATACGTCACTGTTTCTTAATAACTTGGTAGTTGTTTACACACAAGTCGTACCGTGTTAATGTTTCTCCTGACGGTTCGTCTGTTTACACACAAGTCTTACCGTATTAATGTTAGTCTTACCTTATTAATGTTAGTCTTATCGTATAAATGTTAGTCTTATCGTATTAATGTTAGTCTTACCGTATTAATGTTAGTCTTACCGTATTAATGTTAGTCTTACCTTATTTATGTTAGTCTTATCGTATAAATGTTAGTCTTATCGTATTAATGTTAGTCTTATCGTATTAATGTTAGTCTTATCGTATTAATGTTGGTCTTACCGTATAGATGTTGGTCTTACCGTATTAATGTTGGTCTTACCGTATTAATGTTAGTCTTAACGTAATTAATATTGGTCTTACCGTATTAATGTTGGTCTTACCGTATTAATGTTAGTCTTACCGTATTTATGTTAGTCTTACCGTATTAATGTTAATGTTACCGTATTAATGTTGATCTTACTTTATTAATGTTGGTCTTACCGTATTTATGTTAGTCTTCCCGTATTAATGTTGGTCTTACCGTATTTAATGTTAGTCTTACTGTATTTATATTGGTCTTACCGTATAAATGTTGGTCTTACCGTATTAATGTTGGTCTTACCGTATTAATGTTGGTCTTACCGTATTAATGTTAGTCTTACCGTATTAATGTTAGTCTTACCGTATTAATGTTAGTCTTACCTTATTTATGTTAGTCTTATCGTATTTATGTTAGTCTTACCGTATTAATGTTAATGTTACCGTATTAATGTTGATCTTACTTTATTAATGTTGGTCTTACCGTATTTATGTTAGTCTTCCCGTATTAATGTTGGTCTTACCGTATTTAATGTTAGTCTTACCGTATTTATATTGGTCTTACCGTATAAATGTTGGTCTTACCGTATTAATGTTAGTCTTACCGTATTAAAGTTGGTCTTACCGTATTAATGTTGGTTCTGACGGTTCGTCTGTGTAAAGGCTGGACGGGGCGAACATTGTCGAACATAAACGCCTGGGGGTTCTCTGGTGTGTCCCTCCTTAGTGTCCTTAAAGCGTTTAACTGTGAGCAGAGAAGGATAAACTAGATAAATAACTTCAATTTTTAAAAACCTGATAGGAATTGAAGACAAATATCTTTGTTTTTTATAAATCTGTTTAAATAATAGAACGTTTAATATCGAATGCATGCGTTCCAAAACTTAAATTTCGGAAGAATAAAATTTCATTCAGAAGGACACACAACAAAAACTATGCTTTAGATCTTTCTGAAAACGTTTAATATAAACCTGGTGTTCCCCAATGAAGATTGGTCTGTTCAAAAGGATCCATGTGACCGTTTCATAGCAGCCGGGTTGCGTTACGGATCCCTCATAAGTCATATATTGTAGGTTTTCTGGAAGGATGCGTTGAATTGAGAGTTCTTCTATTAAAGTTGTATTACCTGCAAAAATTTTGAAATTTACAAATAATTCTTATGATAAGATGTCCCGAAGAACTGAAAACTTCTTTGTGCAAAATAATGCATGTCTCTGAATTGAACTTTGATGAAAGCACAAGTCATTTTGCTATATACTGGCATTTTCAGTACTTACTTTTGAATTGAACTTTGCTGAGAACCCTAACAATTTTGTTGTGATCAGTACCTACTTCTGAATTGAATTTCTCACAGAGCACTAGTAACTTAGGTTTTAGTACCTACCTCTGCATTCAATTTTGCTAAGCACTAGACAATAAGTTATTTCTTTTTTTTATTTCAGTACATACCTCTGAATTGAATTTTGCTGAGAGCACTTGTTATTTTGTTAATTTCAGTGTGCGTTGTATCTCGGTTTGCCTATAAGAAAGGAATATTGAATAACAGTGTTGCCATTTAATAAAGGATTTTTCTTGATAGAATGTGAAAAATATTTTCAATGATTTTATAGTAAGAGGCGTTTATGGTAACCTTACTACAAATCTTATAGTAAGTCTGATTCTTCAACTTTTCTATCGTCAACATCTCTTATTTATAGAGCGGTGCTCCCTTGTTACCTGGGTATGGCTTCAGTATCAGTTGATTCGATACATAAGAGCAAGCTCTACTTGTGAAATTAAAAAAACAAAACAAAACCGGCTTCGGACAAACATAAAAGGTAATAAAAGAAGGATATAAACATACTTGTTTAAGTCGTTATTCTGCAAGTTCTATAGTCGTTATAATTATTTTGACCGAAAAACAATCATTAAATTAAACGCTGAGTGATGTTTTTCATGCTCATGTTTAGGTTATTATTTTCACATTTTCCAGATTATGACAAGGAGCACATGGCGATTGTGAGCGGTCGGCAGGGGATGCTTACTTCCATATGGCATCTGATCCTACCTAAAAACTGTTAGTATAATGTAGTAAGCAACCAAGAATCATATCTAATTTATCAAAAAGTACACCACAGAGAAACTGGTGCATGATATTTACTGACATTACTTTTAAGAATTTTCTTTTAGCAATAATATATTTTTTGTTTATATGAGTATAAGCAGTTGTAACTATTAGAAAAATTCCTAAATCACCATCTTAAGGTATGTACATGTTTGTGGGTTATGTTAGTATTTTCTGCAGCAACTGTTTTTACATTTAATATAGAGAGATCCAAAATAGTCTTTTGCTTGCTGTCCAATCCGATTCGTTTTTATTTGCGAATAAAATTTTGTATTAAAAAGAAGATTTTATTGTTCATATTATGTCTTCATAAATAATTGTATAGAATACGCATAAATACGTAAAATGATTATTCTGAAAGTGGCAGTATGACATTCAGAATATTGCTATCATAAATATGTTTTTCTTCTTTAAGAAATTTCTTCTTAATTTTAAAATTTTGATTTCGTTCAATTAAAAGTTATTATCAGTAAAGTAAAAGAAAAGTTCAATTAACAAAAGACATGAACCTTGTTAATTTCAACCATCTCAGTTCTTTAAATTAGATGTTGCGGGTAGTATATTCTACACAAAATGAGTTATACCCCTATATGAATACATTACCTTAACAAACAGACTGATAATCGTCAAACCCCTTGGTGCACGTTCTGCTGCAGTGATGTTATGGAAGAGATCGGAATTATACGCCATAAGATGAATCTGCAATGATAATAATGATAA